AGTCACAAAACCAGAGAGAAAGCAGATCTGTCATCTTCTGTTTCAGTCTTGGGAAAAGAGAATTTTGCTGCTGTGACTTCTGTGTGGATGGAAATCCTGGTTTTACTTACTTTGGAATACTAAATAATTAAATGTCAGTGGGGAGCTTTGTATTTTAATTTCATTCCTACTTACACATTCACATTGAACTCCTTCGTGGATTGCGAAGTTCAGCATAAATCAGTTTCCCATTTGTCATGTGTAATCTGAGTGCTGCCATGCCTCCTTCACAAAGGGTGAGACTGGAGACTTCATTTCTCTAGTTCTGTTAAAAATGTCAGACAGTGAATGAAATACCTTTAGCTTTAAAAATGAGCCCATCTTTTGTCTGAACATGTTCTCCTTCCTCCCCAAGTAAGGGGTGGGAGGAGAACCTTTAAACAGAAATGCATTGACTCTGCAGAAGACTTGCTGACTTAAATGGATGACTTTGCTCGGAACTGTAATCTCTTCCAGGTCATGATGTTTGGCCAGCTAAACCCAGTATTCATCCCAATTAGCTGATCACTCTGCCTTTAGTCACATCCTGTGCACCTTGGTGACAGGAAGTTATGGGTGTGGTCCAAGTGTTCGATCTCATCAAAATATCCTTATGGAAACAGCAAATAACTCTTTTTCTTGATTATAGTGGATGCTTCCCATCACACTCTTTACCAGACAGCATGGTGGGCTGCAGGTGTGAGCTCTGGGCTGCCAAGGGTGACACCTTACCATCTGCAGCCATGACTTTGGAGCTCTGTTGTCTAATTAAAATAAGGGCTGTATTTCCTTCGCTGAGTTAGTGGTAATCTGTTGATAAGTGTTTCATAGCAGTGCTTCAAGCATTGTTTTACAATTCTGCACAGACACAGTGATATTTACTGGTTGCTTTGGGTCTTGTTATTTTCTTTTATGTGCCCCAGAGTTGTTCAGGGTGGATAATTGGGTTGAGTTGTCAGAGCTCCTGCTAGAAGAAGGGGTTGGAGTAGTTAAGAAATATGATATATTCTGAAGACACAAAGGAATTTGGGAACAGATTAATTCAGAGGATTCTGCAGAAACAGACCACTTGAAATTAATTCTGGGAGACAAGGTCGATGATGTGCTCTGCTCATGAGGGAAACTCACTTACCCTCAGCGTGAAGTGAGTTGAGAAAGAAAATGGATTGATTATGGCTTGTGTGGCGCTTTACTCTGAGCCTTGACTTGGGGCATATGGGCTAAAAATACATATATATATGCAGGGAACAGGGGAAACAGGAGATTCCTCTGCATCTCATTAAATGAATTGGGAGGATCTGAAAATCATATGGTATGGCTTTAATAGTCACACACTTAAAATAATTTCTTATCCATGGCTGTTCATACACTTGGATCTTGCATTGTCTTTGAACAATGACTCTGATGTTTGTATTTAAGAACAGTGCTCTGCACAGATGTGCTTTGTAAACAGAGGCACCAGAACAGTGCAGTACTGTTCAGCTGCCCATTTGGATGATGTTCAGCAGTCCAGGAACGGTTTAATTCTTAAACACTAGGTTGTGTTTTTATGCAGTGCTGCTTGCTTCTCAATAAAGCGAAAATTTTGTGTTTTCTTGTGTGTTTAAACCCCTATTTGTTTAGGGATTGTACAAGTTGTCTCTACAGTGAAATGGCTGAGTAAGGCAGTACAAAGTTGGAATGAATTCCAGTCACCTATGACTAAGCTGAAGTGTATTCGATACATGTTTATTGTTTGAACTTTGAGATTGTTCTTAGTAATATATGTGACTTTCCAGCTCAGCAGTTGTGTTTATGATGGCATCACACGTGGCTGTTTGCATGTTCTTGTGCAGCTGTCTTACAGCTACAGGTTTTTTCTGTATTAGACTTTATTGGTGCTTGGCTGTAAAATTAGCATTTATCAGCTGGAAGTAATGGATTCTTTTCTGTATTCATTTACAACTGATTTTGAAATCTTAAGTGTGGTGCTGGAAGAGCAAACTGATTTGCAGATAGGGTCTTACAAGTGTAATGTAGTAGGGTGTTGGTAACAAATTTTCACTTAATTAATGTTCTCTAAGTTACGGAATGCCACCGCAAGTCAGAGTTTGTGGGGCAGGGTACTTACTAAGGTTGAAGATGTAGGGAAGTTCAGGGCTGTCTTAATGCTAAGAATTGCTCATAACTGAAAAAGGCTGAGTTACAGAAGGGTTAATCAGTGTTTGAGGAAAAATCTATTTCAGTATTGTCTCATTGTTTATCCTAGTGATAGGCAGTGAAACCTGTATGTTTCAAAATGTTTATGTCAAAATACTGCAGTGTGTTGCACTGCTGTCCTTTGTGTCAAGAGGTCACCTGCTTTTTGAAGTTCAGGGGTTGTGTGTGTCTCTCTTTCCTAGTTCTTCTTTGCCAGGTGATTGGATCAGAGTTTTCTGCCTTGTCCTGAAGGATGCTGAAGATTGTTCTTGAATGAGAAGGTGTAGGGGAGCTGCTGGTGGGACGTCCATTAGCTGGAGGGGAGGATGGGTGAGGAGGGAGTTGTGTGATGTGGCTGAGCAAGCAGCATCATTGCGAGTCTCAGTGAAAGGATCACTGAGGAGGGAGTCTGACCAGGTGAGGCTGCAGAGAGTGGTGTGTGACCCAGTACAAGGTTGGGGCACAGATACTGCAGCAGTATGAGTGGTTGCTTACCTTAGTGAAAGTGTAGTGTCACGTGCACTGTTTTTTACCGGTTTGTGTTGTGCTACAGCATATGGAAAGGTTTTGTTGCTTTACCCCTTCATAGGAATTCATTTAATGTGGAAATTTGGGGAATGGACAGCTTGGTGGTGGCATGTTTTCAGGATATTATTTGTACCATGTTCAGTTCTGCTGAAGCTCTTTTGTAGAGGCAAGTAGTGTGCTTAGACACTTCAGTATGTGCCACTCTTAATGCTGTGGGACACTAGACTGTCAGTGGGCTGAGCAGTTCTAACACAGTATTGCATGGAAATGTGGGAATCCCTGCACCAGCATTCCTCACTGCAGGATTTAAATAGAGGCTGCTGTTTTGCAAGTTGACCTGGAACAGTCTTTTTCCATCAGAGTAGCTGTCTGACTTATCTGCCTGTTTGGTCATATGAGTATCTGAGTGATTTAATATTTCAGAAACTGAGGAAGCAACAGCTCCATTGCTGAGAACTCTTCTCATTTCCAGTCAGCACGAACGCTGCATGCCTTTGATGAAAAATGAATGCTGCATTCTTTGTGCACTGCTTCAAGTCTGTTAAGAAATATGGTGGTAGAAGCATTTGAATTAAAGAGTAGTTTTTTATATGAAAGTGCTCTAAGCATCTGTAATGTTCCCTGTCAAAAGTAGAATTAAGCTGGCTAAGGCTTCTGGCTGTAATAGAGTATTAGAAGAGGCTAAAGCTGTTAAAACACCTTCAAAACATCCGGTGAGTGTCAGTGCATTAAAATGAACTTAAGTCAGGCTATCTTAAAATAAATCTACACTTTTAGCATCTACCACAAGCCAGCAATGACCTATCTTTAGTAGCAGGCACAGCACGAGTGGAAACTGTCATGTGAGGTTGACTTTTGATGTAAATCTGTCTGCAGGGTGATGTTGGTGTGTGCTCAGGCTGTAACACCTACAGCTTTGTGCTCTGCAGAATGTCTAACCACACTGTTTTGGCGTTTCTCTGCAGTGTGAATGAGATGCTGAATTTCATGAATGTTCCATCATTAAACCCTATGTTGCCTCTGTTTGAAGTGGTGACCGTGGTGGTTAGCCAGGACGATGTGCAGGGACACTGAGGCCACTTTTGGGGTGGCAGTGTCAACCACTGTCTTGTAGACACACCTTGGGTTCTGAGATAGATTATAGTTCTTAGATATTCTCTCATCGTTCAGGTAATGAGGTTAAGAAAAAAATCCTTGTTGAACATGAACATTGGTGGTTGAGCAGCAGGGAGATCTTTGTAGATGGTAACTTGTACACTTGTTACTATTTATATTTCTAATACCTTCTTGATTTAGAAAATTATTGTGGCATGTGTCTGCTGACTGTTCTGAGAACAAACTGTAACAACTGTCTTGTGTTATTTCAAAATTACCTTTCTGCTGCTATATTTAGCTTGTGCTTCTTCAGAGAGATTGTCTTTGTCTGCAGCTCTTATATACACAGTTTTGTGGAAAAAAAATGGTGCTGACAAAGATGCTTCCCAGCTTTGGTTTATAAAGGCATAACTTGATCTTACCAGTCTGTGTTTAGACACAAAACTTGTCGAGAAAGATTGTGCAGGTATTGACCTGCTGTGCAATTGCTGCTACCAGTGGGTGCTTATGTTCTCATTATTGCTTCAGTCAGGACTCCCTGCCCTTGCAGGTGGGTGGAAGGTGTGTGAGCAGATGGGTGGCAAGATGTTGATGGTGTTTTGGGCACATCTGAGTTTGGGCTTTTAGGGGGTTGGAGATCAGAAATGGGCAGGATTTTTAGGTTTAATTTTTTGAAATATTTAGTGATTGTCATTATTTTATGCTTCACATAACCATTTTTATAGAAAGCCTGGTTTTACTTAAGCTGAAAATGAATCCTGAAATGCAATTCTCAAGGAAGGGAAAACCCACCAAACCTGATACAGAGTGCAAAGCAGGAGCAGGTTGCTTAGACATGGGAATGTGCTGCCCAGGGAGGTGGTGGAGTCACTGTCCCTGGAGCTGTTTAAGGAGGAGCTGGATGTGGCACTTAGGGCCATGGTCTAGTTGACACGGTGGTGTTAGGTCATAGGTTGGACTTGATGATCTCAGAGGTATTTTCCAGCCTTAATGATTCTGATTCTGTGAAAATACTATTTTAAGTAAAGATAAACTCTGACCTCAGGCACTTCAGACAAGGAAGGGACAAGTGCTCCTATAGAGAGCAGGTAACAGAGGGTTGGGAGCCCTAGAACACGCTTTGAATAAAGTGACTATTCATTAACAAACTCAAAATTTGTGGTTTTTTGTTTGTTTTACAGGCTAAAGAAATTTTGACAAAAGAGTCTAATGTACAAGAAGTGCGATGTCCTGTCACAGTCTGTGGAGATGTCCATGGACAATTTCATGACCTCATGGAACTTTTCAGAATTGGAGGGAAATCACCAGACACAAACTATTTGTTTATGGGGGACTATGTTGACAGAGGATATTATTCAGTTGAAACAGTCACATTGCTTGTAGCTCTTAAGGTAACTATTCTTCTTAGCTGTGCAGTTCTGTATAAAACATACATCATTGCTATCCTGACCACACTTAAGAGATGCTGTGATTTTTCACTGCACTGGTACTCGAGGTACAGACAGTGACATGTTGGCTGTCTTAGTTTTCTAAGTTACTTCTGGAAAAAAAATTAAAATTCAGGTCCAAGCATGAAATCTACCTAAAGTGACCACTGTTTATTTTTTATTTGCCCAGGTTTTAATTTTTTAGGATATGCTTGGAGAGATCATCTTAATGGACAGGTGAACTCCACTAGTCATAGTGAATGCAGTGTGTAGTGAATCTCAAAGGTGGTTGAAGATTTGAATAAATTATTCCTTTTGTTCTCAAAGGTTATAATTGAATCTCAGTCTTAAAAAGGGTTTGGTTTTAATGGCTTTGTTGCTGCAGTGATGGGGATTGAGGGGTGCAGACTCTGCTCTGGGGGAGACATGCATCTTTTGGTGACCCTAAAAGACTCTGTTGTGTTTAGGTTCGTTACCGTGAACGCATCACAATTCTCCGAGGGAACCATGAAAGCAGGCAAATCACACAAGTCTATGGGTTCTATGATGAATGTTTAAGAAAATACGGAAATGCAAATGTTTGGAAATACTTTACAGACCTTTTTGATTACCTGCCTCTAACTGCCTTGGTGGATGGCCAGGTATGTTGACATTGGACAGAGTTAAATGATGGTGGTTGTAAAGGGAGCTCTTAGCACTGTACTGTGCGGGGGAATCTTGTGCAGATTTTCTTCTAATAATTTATTTTAAACCATTATAACTGCACTGATTAAATAAATAAACTTCCTCTATCTCAACTCTTGCAGATTTTCTGTCTACATGGTGGCCTCTCTCCATCAATAGATACACTGGATCACATCAGAGCACTTGATCGCTTGCAGGAAGTTCCCCATGAGGTACTGAAAAGTCATTGTCTAAGCCAGTGAGATTCATGATTCAGCATTTGTTGGGTGGTTGAGTTCACAGGCTGAAAATGAAATTCAGATCAGCTTAGCAATGTGAAAGTGCCTGTCTTCCTGTTCTGGTTTTTTGAAGGAAAAGTAAGGGGCATCTTCTTGCCTAAAGAAAGAAACATGAAATCTCAGAGTTGCTGCAATAAGTTGTGCAGAGGTGGTGTGTGTGCAAGTTTTTGTGGCTTTGTTTGTCTTGGTTTCTTTTTCTTCACTTTGCCTCTGAAACATCTTCCCCGTCTTTTGCAGGGTCCAATGTGTGACTTGCTATGGTCAGATCCAGATGATCGTGGTGGCTGGGGAATTTCTCCTCGAGGTGCAGGTTATACATTTGGACAGGATATTTCAGAAACCTTTAACCATGCTAATGGCCTTACGTTGGTCTCAAGAGCTCATCAGTTGGTAATGGAGGTGAGCAGGACAGAGCCTGTGTGTTCATTAGTGCCATGGTTGGTGTGTCAGATGTGCTGCTGGGACAACTGGTGATCCAGCTGAGAGTCTTCAGAAACTTGACCTTGACAGTATTCACGTGCTGCTAAAGGAGTTTTCTCAGTTTGACAGTGGAGTAACCTTCCTTTTGGCCTTTTTTACTCTGAAAACATACAGTGATGTCCCAAACCAGACTTCAGCACTAGATGTGGTGTTGCATTTCTGTGTAGATAAAAAGGTTCTTAAATGTGTTCCTTGAGAAAAGATGTATTTTTTCCTTTTACCTTGGATGTGAGCTTTTGTTCTTAGTCTCTTGTTATCCCTGGCAGTTAAGATATTTAAATATGTGTCTGGATTCTGGTTTTGGTGATCACAGCTGAAGGTTCAGAGTAGAGTGTGTACTTCAGAATTGCTGTTTTAACTTTTTGATGCTAATGCAATGGGGAATTCTTGCTGGATGTGTTTGGTTTTTTTTAAATTTTAATGTTTACATCATATTTATTAGTAAGAAGCAACCTATGAAGGCCAAAATTCCTTTTTACCCTTTTCCTTCCCAGAAGAGAAATAAAGACACAGCCTTGCTCTTAGTTAAAACAGCCCTGCAAATGCCACTTAGGGCTTTGTGCATTAAAAATCCAGTAGTCAGGTGGTTCTTTGGGGTACAAGTGACCTTGACTGTCATAATTATTTTTTCTTCCCTCCCTAGGGCTACAACTGGTGCCATGATCGGAATGTAGTAACAATTTTCAGTGCTCCAAACTATTGTTACCGTTGTGGCAACCAGGCTGCAATTATGGAACTTGATGATACTCTAAAATACTCCTTGTAAGTATGTTTAAAAATGAGAATTCTGTTGCCCATGGTTTTAAGATAGTTGTTGTAGCAAGATACCACTTAAATCCTGTGTTAAGGTGTGGTATTTTTCCCCCTGTATGGTTTTGAGAAGTGGAGTGAAATTGGAATTACTGGGTTAGTCACACTCAAAGTCTTGGGAGGCAAATACCTGGAACAGTTGTTGAGATATTCTCTGCGAGATTAAAGTGACACTCCTCGTTTTTGTTCTGTATAACTAATTGGGAGTTTCATGAATTACTGTGGAGGTATGTGATTGGAGAGCAGGAGTTGCCTGTCACATCTGAGTTAATGCCCTCCTGACTCTGGAATCTTCTTCAGATGTTGATGTCGCATTTTGGATGAGGTTTCTAATTACCTCCTGCAGTAGCAGCCTTACCAGCAGACAGGGCAAAAGCCTTGTGTAAACTGCCCTCCCTGATGATTACTGCAGACTTTTAACTTCCTAAATCTGTATTAATGTTTGACCAATTTGAGTCTCAAAGCTAAAATCTCTGCAGACTTTCATAGTAACGGTAAGAGGGGTTTCGAATGTGAAGGTTCTAAGTGTATACTCACAGAAGGGTTGGAAAAGGCTCAGCAGGTGTTTTGGTTGATGTAACTTGGAAAGTCGTTGCCAGCTGGGCCATCCCTGAGTGTGAGCTGAGCTGTGGTTTCACTAATCTCTGTGCTCTCAGTTTGCAGTTCGACCCGGCGCCGCGCAGAGGTGAGCCCCATGTTACTCGTCGCACCCCAGACTACTTCCTGTAAAGAGATTTTAGACCTGTACAGTATTGCCATGAACCATATGTTGACCTAAAGAAAAATGGGAAGAGCAACAGTAACTCCAAAGTGTCAGAAAATATTTACCATTCAAACTTTTGTTTTCACATGGACCAAAAGACGTGCCATATTCAAAATACAAAGCCTCTTGTCGTCAACAACTGTGACCACTTTAGAATGAACCAGTTCATTGCATGCTGAAGCAACATTGTTGGTCAAGAAACCAGTTTCTGGCATAGCGCTATTTGTAGTTACTTTTGCTTTCTCTGAGAGACTGCAAATAATAAGATGTAGACATTAACACCTCGTGAATACATTTAACTTTCCATTTAGCTATAGCTTTATTCAGCATGACTGTAGATAAGGGTAGCAGCAAACAATCATTGAAGCTTAAAGAACATTTTTAAAATAAGTACCAAGGCCTCATATTTGTTCTGAAACTGTTTGTTTGTTTTATTTTCAGGGAATACTGTTTAATTTAATTGTATTGATTTTTTTTTTTTTTGTCTGCACTCAGTTCCCTTTTCCACTCTTTGCCCTACCATATTGTCCCTTGTAATTGTCCAAGGATAGTGAATTACTTTGAACAGAACTGTTTTTTTCTGTAAAACAATGTTACTGCAGGACAGAGCTGCAGTGTTTTTCATAATAAACTTGTGAACTAAGTATGGAAAAATGTCAAATCCTAATTGCATCTCAGGTCAACTGTGGTTTAATAAACTAACATGTAGCTGGATGGGGTTTATCAACTTGCATAGAAATGTCCACCTTAAGTAGCAGAACTGAGGTGGTTGGAGTGTGCTGGAAAACTCTGATGTTGTGCATGCTGTCCCAGGGAGGACAGAGCTCCTGGTTACTGACGTATTGCTCTTTC